CAATAAAGCATAGGTAAACATCTTTCTGATATCCTCTGCTTTCAGCCAAGATTCACACTAAATCATATTGTCTCAGCAATATACCCAAGTCAATTTCTCCTTGCTTTGAACTATAGTTTCAACAAATTCATTTTTATCAGTTCCTGCTTGTCTGCAGCTTCCACTATTACAATAATCAGTCAGTCATAATCAGGCCCACCATTTTAGGCTGTACCTTCTGGGTTCTTCCCTCTCCCTTCCCTTCAACTATATTTTGTAAACTTACTTTTTCCCCACCAAACTAAGCCGCAAAGCATGTAGTTTAAAAGGCAACATGGCTTTTGATAGGCCAGAGCTAAGTCACCCTAGCAATGACATGTGATCTCCTGATTTGAACCTATATAAGACCACTCCCTTCCTGTTGATCTTCACTTCTGCCTTCATTCTCTGTCAAAAGTCACCTTGCTCTTCCTCACCCTGAATAAAAGTCTCTAGACGGGCCATCTGGTGTGCAGTGTGGTTGATGAGCGACGCTGGGTTGTTTTTTTCCTTTCATTGGTGTCAGAAGTGGGATTGGTGAGGCCCCCGATTTAACATCGTAAAGCCCAAGACCCCTACTCTCCCTGCACCCTAACCCACTCATTTCAACCTGCCCTCCCAGCGCCCATGATCATCTTCCCTGATGCCTTCTCAGCACTCATCACTGGCAAGAGTCAATTCTTCAGCCCTCTGGCTTGGGTAAGTCACCTATTGTGGCTGCCCTGGGTGTGGAGATTTGAACCCTGGTAACCAGGACATAAGATTCCGTCCGGGACACAGACCAGGTGCCAGGTTCTGTGTCTCCCATTGTGAATTGGGAACTCACTGGAACAAGTCCGAGACTTGTCTGTTCCACCCCCTCCCACTGAAGGGACGCCTCAGAGGGTGGTGCAGCCTCTCTGTTTACAGACCCCTTTCCTTGTGGCAGGGATGCCTCCACTGGGAGTTCGGGTCCCCACACCTAAGACTAAGTCTGAGGTGGGAGCACTGTCTGAATCTCAAGAGACATCTTGGGTTCCAGGCACTGTTTGCTGTCTTACTCCTGGTTGCTATGGGTTCTGGGTCATCCATACTGGCAGACTCCCCATTAGGGTGTTTGCTCAGGAAGCTTGAGGCCTAAGACCTTAAATCTAAGCATCTTATACACCTATCTACTCAAATTTGGCCTCAATAGAAATTAGACAACCAAAATAACGGCTCATTGGAACCAGGTCTAATCCAAACCTATATAACTTTTGTGAGCGCCAGGGAAAATGATCAGAGATCCCGTATGTCCAAGGCTTTTCCTACCTTCAAAGCCAACCTTCTCTTTGTTCCATTGCTTGTAAACAGTCCCCTCCCCAAAAACTGCTTGTAGCTCAAGCAGTCTCTGCGTCCGCGCCACCTCCTCTTGACTCCATCAGCTAATTTGACCCAGCTGATGATCACCACCTTATCAGAGAGCCCCAAGTTCACCTCCGGCCCCCCACTCCACCCCCCTGGGCCATAGAAGACCCCACTCCAGTCCTTCCCTCACTTTCTTTGGGTCCCCAGGAACTTCCTTTACCATCCTCTTCTTCGTCTCCCTCCACTTCTCCTCCGTATGCGCCTACCCCACCCTGCACTCACTCTAAGTCTCAAAAGTTAATGGACCCAGAAATTACTCAGTCTAACCACATAGTGGTGCCATTGTGAGATGTAGCCAGGGCGGAAGGAATTGTCCAAGTTCATACCCCTTTTCCAACAGCGAAGCTGATTCTGATTCAGTCTAGGCTTGGATCCTTCACCTCAAGTTCTGTGACTTTCATCAAACAGTTTCAATTTTTAATATTTTTGTAGTTTTAACCAACTCTTTCACCCCTGAAGAGAGCAGACGAGTGCTGGAGCAGGCCCGAGCCCATGCAGACCAAGAACATCTTACCAATAATGTTCACCCAGCAGGAGCTGAGGCCATCCCTGAAAAAAAGAGAAACTAGAGAAGGGCCCTTTAACTCCCCAAGCAGAAGCCCTTGCTGTTGCATTTATATAATGGGTGAGATGATGCAAAAGCCACAACTAGCTCAGGCCATCAATCCCACCATGCCACAACATGTAGGTGGTAAACCCTCAGGCCACCCAGGACCCTGTTTTCGGTGCAATCAGGGCGGACATTGGGCCAAAGAGTGCCCAAATCCTAAACCTCCCACCAAACCCTGCCCTAAATGCAAACAAAGGAGACATTGGGGAGGCCCTGGCATGTCTGGCCCAATGCTGATCACCACCCAGGAGCCCAGGGTAACTTTCACCATGGCACGTAGGATGATCACCTTTTTACTTGATACTGATGCTAGTTCTTATGCTTTGCAGGAGTTTTGGGGACCCACTCCCCTGTCCAAGACCTCTATTGTTGGGGTAGAAGGTCTAAAGTGACGCCCTCAGCTAACTCCACTCCTTTCTTGTAAAATTGACAATTTTGATTCTTGCACTCATTTTTAGTTCTCCCCTTTTTCCCTATACCCCTATTGGGAAGGGATATCTTATCCAAACTTGGTTCCAAGGCCCTTCCAGCACTCCGATATCTCCGGTCCTGGATCCAAAATTATTCCCTTTAACAGCACCTCTTTATGAGTCCTCAAAAGGCAATCCCCAAGAGACCTTAAGCTACTCCATTTTTACAGCTCAAGTCCCAACTTATAGAAGCCCCAGCCTTGCATTTACCTGATCTCACCCGTCCCTTTTATCTTTATGTGTCTGAAAATAAAGGGTTTGCATTAGCAGCTTTAAGCCACCAATTAGGCCCTACGTTTGCTCCAGTAGCTTATTTATCAAAAAAACTGGATCCTACCGTCCGAGGATGGGCATCTTGCTTGCTGAGTTTAGCTGCAACCTCCCTTTTAATCCAAGAACCTCACTCCTTCATGATCCTTTATTAACCTCCCAGTTGTGCCGGGCCCTTAATCCTTCCACCCTACTCCCTGTGTCAGACCAGGAACCAATTCACAATTGCTTAGAAGCCTTAGAAGTTTTCTTGCCACATGACTCGCACATCCAGGAAGGACCTCTTTCCTCCCCCGACCTAGTTTGGTATACTGATGGTAGTTCTTTCTCCCAAGATAAAAGCAAGCGGGCAGGCTATGCCATTGTATCTGAAAATGAAGTCATTGACCAGGGCTCCCTCCCTCCTCAAACAACTAATCAACAAGTGGAGCTGATCGCCCTCACACAGGCCTTTACCTTAGCTTCGGAAAAAAGACTCACAGTTCATACAGATTCCAAATATGTCTTCCATATTCTGCTTTCACATGCAGTCATTTGGAAGGAAAGAGGTTTTTGTTCCACTAAAGGTGATTCCATCCAGAATTTTAAATTTATTATGGAACTACTAAAGGCTTCCAGGCTGCCCGCAGCCATTGGCATTGTCCACTGTAAAGCTCATCAGTCAGACCAGTCACCTATAACCAAGGGAAATAATTTGGCTGATCACATAGCAAAGAAAGCAGCCTTAATGCTGACTGCACTCCCTAGCTCCTCAGTAAATCAAGGAGCGGAAACTCAGAAGCCGAGCCTAACCCAGGATCAACTTACATACCTTCAGGAAAATTTCCACCCCAGCTCTAGACACACCAAGCCAGGGGTCTGCTCCCCGGCTTGGATTGGCAAATAGACTTCACCCACATGCCCAAAGTTAAAAGGTACAAATATCTTCTACTTCTACTTGACATCTTTTCTGGGTGTGTTGAGCTTTTCCTACCACAAATAAGCGAGTCTCCACAGCCTCTGCTTTCCTTTTCAAGAAAATTATTCCCCTCTTTGAGCTCCCTACTTCTCTCCAATAGGACAATGGCCCCGAATTCACTTCCCACATAACTCAAGGACTGGCTAAATTATTGGGAATTTCTTGGCACCTCCACATCCCCTTTCACCCTCAATCATCAGGGAAGGTGGAGTGAACCGACAGGTCAATCAAAGCTGTCTTTACTAAGCTAACCCTAGAACTTCATGCTGACTGGGTCTTGCTTTTCCCCTTAGCCTTGTTATGCCTCAGATCTTTGCCTAAAGCACCTCTCCAAATTTCTCCTTTTGAACTAATGTATGGACGCCCTTTCCTATCTCCAGGACTAAAACCTGAAGCGTCTGCCCTTCCACCATCTCTTTTAGTAAGCAATTTAAATTACTTAAGAACTATATTATGGCAACATGCTGACTCACTTTTACCCTCACCTTTTCCCGCATTACCTTGCTCCTACCAATCAGGAGATGTAGTCCTAATTGCGCCTCAGAGTCTCCCAAAAGAACCCTTGAAACCCAAGTGGATTGGTCCACATAAAATAATTTTAGCCACCCCTACAGCAGTTAAGTTAGAGGGACTCTCGAGCGGGTTCCACATCTCAAGGGTTAAGCCCTTCCACAGCCCTGCTGGAGGACTCAAACCATCATCCCCTCCTAACTAATTCCCTGGCTGCCTTTCTAACCCCACTATTGGTTATCCTCACTTTACTGGCAGTTATTCCTTGTGTTCTTCATTTTGTTGAATCACAGGTTAGCCACATATCTACCCAAACTTCCCAGCAAGCTGCTACCCAGTTGTTGTTACAAGCCAAAGACCTCTAGTTACATGCAAACTACAGGACCAAGCCCAGTCCAGCTGCTGACCCATTTCCATCACTTTTTCGTTAATCTCTGGATTATTTGCCTTGGTTTGCTCCTCACCCATGCCCTGTCACTGGCTTAATGAACTGGGTTTCCAACTCATGGCTCCAAGGAACCTTTTCTAATTTCACCCCTGACGAAATTGAGTTTTCCACTTGGTTACTAACTCTCCCACCCAAACCATGGGTTGCCAAAGAACCAATAGATCCATTTTGGAAGAAGTGCAGCCAGAGTGCTCCTTGAAGGCCAAAATGTCCAAACTTAATCTCTCATACTTTGGACATATTGTCAGGAGGGACCAGTCACTGGAGAAGGATATCATGTTTGGTAAGGTGGAGGGTCAGAGAAAAAGAGGAAGA